GTAGTGGCCCTCCCGCGGCGCACCACGTCCAGTCACATCTCTAACCGTAGCCAAGGGCGCTACTTGTCAGACCTGCTCACGTCTGTTTGTTGTCTACCTTTGACTGAGCGTTCACTCTGAAATTCTGGTACCGGAGCGAGTGCTGACTTTTCTGAACAGCGCAGGTGTGTTTCCAGACGGCACCCCGGCATCACTGAGGAGCGTCATTCGCGCGCTCTCAAAAGATCAAAGTGTTGCACTCATACCTGGCGACCCTCTTCCTCGCCTATGGCGAAGGAAAGCCATATGCGCCCTCGAAAGAGAGTGCACACTTTGTCATCGAGTAGGCAAAGTGTGGCGTATTCAAGATAGTGCTCCGTCCCATTATGCCAGAAGAATTCGTCTCTTGTACAAAAATGGACAGCGCGTAGCTGGCTCGTCTGCGATGGTGATACGGTTGCAGCTATCTCGCCCACAGCTCAAAATTAGTTGGAACATTAAGGGCGAAATTCCTGGTTTCGATCAATTGCTCGCGATCTTTATCATTCTTTATCACTCAGCACTTCGCTTTCACTTCTACTCTCACTTCAGACCGACAGATGGCAACCAGTTAGCCTACCCACTGCCTTTGAGAGGGTGATTTGATAACATACAATAGCATGAAATGCAACGAGTGTACTTTTTACATAACCAGGAACGATACAAGCAGTAATAATAGAGAAGAGTACACCGCTGTAGCAATAGAATTGTAGTGTGGCTTAGGTAGTGTCGTCGGTTCCACGAATTCTGATCGCTTGCCAACTTCTTTGAAGATGTTCACAAGAGCTCCGACGAAATTTCCTTGAAAGAATAGCATTAGGAGCCGGGTCCACTTTTGTCCAAACAGAGCATGCCCTCGCCCTCCTTTATCGCGATACCCTTTCCCTCCTTTGTCGCCTAATTGCATCAAACTTGTCCGGGACGACAACATTTGTGCAGTCGCGGAAAAAAAATTGGAACAAGTGAAAAGCCATTTTCATCTGTTCTAAGCTATGTAATCTCTTCTTATACATCAGTATTAGGGTTAGAAGCTAAGAATACAACGTTATAATGTAATAATATTAAAATTGCGTTGAGAGCGGGATAGTTTATGCAATGAGGCCACTTATACCATAAGCAAAGTCTCGTTCCAAACCCGATCGGCTCCCACCTAACCAGTCGAGTTTTTACTGCGTAGGGAAAGCTACTAGTAATAACCTCGCCTAAAAGTTTGAAAAAAGTCGACCACTCCAACATCTGCAGCCGCCCCGATAACAGCCCCGCCCCCCCCCCCCCGTTATACCTTCTTCTCGAAGTGCCTCATCGCTGCGATCTTCAAAATTCTATCCCTGCAACGAGCTCAATCAACCAACTCTCTCCTTTAGAGTAGCTTTCTTAGGAGCACTTGATTTGAGCAAAGATCATTTTTACACACAGTTTAAAACCTTAGGTGAAGCTATTGAAAAGCGCCCAGCTTGGGCTTGTTCCAATGTTTCCCGCGACTGTACATAGGCTGGACCTCCAGTCGTTCTGTAGAAATTGTGGTCAAAATGTTACTAAAATCACACTGAAAATAGAACGCGTGTTCCCCAACAACGAGTGATCATTCCTGATGGCCTTGGCGTCAACTCCTTCATAGAAGAGAAAAAATAATGATTGGCACAACACTCGATTCTTCTGGATTCACATCTCATGCACATCGTTAGAGGATAATTGCATCAATTATTTACCAGGACTATAAAAAACGAACCTGTTTGGAGTTGCATCTCATTTGTATCGATTATTGATTGCAGTTCATCAGAATCTGAAAGAGTAAAATGCTGAGTCTCACCTCACTGAATGAACATCTTGTAATGGAAGGAGAATAGAATCGAAGGACCACCGAGGCTTGGAGCCTCTGCCCCCATTCAACAACAATGGACGAAATCGCAGAAGAATTAATGTATCGAAACGATTTTGTATTAAAAGTAACAACTTGTGCCTACAGTTCCAAGTGTTTGGCATGTTACAAAACCTAGAGCGAATCAAATACTCCGATACCAAAGAAGTAATTGAAAAAACCTGGTTGTATACTTCGAGAGGTCAATGAGCTCCACTACCTAACTCAAGTACCCCCCCCCCCTTCTCGTCAAGGCTGCTGAACAAATCTGTGATTGTTATCACAAGGATGCTGAACTATGGGCAAAAGTCTGACCCCAAGCGGGACCTAACCCGCACCTCATGCCTTCTGGGCGTTATCCGTTATGCCACTGAGCTGGTAGGGCAAGAGCTGCGCTCGCGGCGTAACGGATAGCGCACTCGCCCGGAAAGCGTGAGGTGCGGGTTCGAGCCCCGCCCAGGGTCATTTGTGCTCAGGTAATTCGTGGTCTTCCCTCCTTGTGCAAGTAGTCCAGTCCAGACCCCAGCTAACAGTAAGAAACTGTACCACTTGCGCGATTCCACAGCGAGCGAGGGGACGCTACAGCCGCCGAGTTCTAGTTCAACACCCGTTCACCACGCTAAATTCGACGCATATGGTGTCGCAATTAATTTCACGTGCGATGCTCAGCAATAGCACCGGGAGCTAAATTTTTCGATGTTCGAGTGTTGCAGTACTTTCCAGAGAGAACCCTGCTGGTTTTCCCCACTACTGAATATTCGCGCTATGAATACAAAAAGGAAATACGCAGTTAGAAGCCACTTACTGAAACCGGCGTTAGGCTGAGCAGCGAAGTATAAGCGTCGATCATCGGAGCTCAAGAGGAACACGACGCCCTTCTTGCACTGATCATCCATGTGCCACAACCGACTGAGGTCATTCACAAGTTGCTGTGAGCCCTGTATGAAACTTATAGAAAAACGGAACTCCTAGCATAATGAGACGATATGAGGTCAAGCCGATAACGTCCGCATGGACAGAACCATTAGAAAAAACTTCAAGAAAGCTCCCAGTAGACAATTACTCAGGGAACTTCGAAAAAACTTCCAGCAAACAATTACTCAAAGTCCGAAACTTGGTAAGGTGAATTCACCATCCATTTTGGTGGTCTCCGTGCATCTTACCAGTGGTGTCACTGTAAGCTGTACATTGAGATTCTGCGATTACCTCACCTTTCGGACTTTGAGTAATTGTTTGCTGGAAGCTGGAATTTTTTCGAAGTTCCCTGAGTAATTGTCTACTGGGAGCTTTCTTGAAGTTTTTTCTAATGGTTCTGTCCATGCGGACGTTATCGGCTTGACCTCATATCGTCTCATTATGCTAGGAGTTCCGTTTTTCTATAAGTTTCATACAGGGCTCACAGCAACTTGTGAATGACCTCAGTCGGTTGTGGCACATGGATGAAACTTATA